TTCACAGGGGTTGGCTGGGAGGAGGAAGGAGACCATTCTGTGACCAAAATACCTTGGTCATTTTTTATATTGCCTTATTTCCCTATGGCTGAGCCTTGTTGTGACACATCAAGCTTTTCTGTAGATGTTGTCTTGGCTTCCCACCAGATGAAGCATTCATATGATCTGCTTTTAGTTGATATATACATACATAATGTTTTTCCTGTTTTAATTTTGTCTTTATTTGGGATCAGCTTCTTGCACTCCTTTCCTCACTCATCCCTTTCTGTCTCCCTTTTTCTTACCTGATCACTTCATGTTTCATGTTTGGTAGTGATCCCTGGATGAGATTCTTCTGTCAATATTATCTTTTAAAGTCCTTAGTCCTTGCAGCAAAACAGAGAAGCCTTGAAGCCCAGGCTGATGCTTGAGGTAGTTATGGAGTGAGTGTTTGAAAAACTACTGACGCAGGCACCCTCTTGGTGCTGGAGAGTCAAAGGCACCTCCCTTCCCTAGCTGCTTTTAAGTATTGAGATTCAGAAGTTTTTCTAGGTAAATGGACAGGAGAACCTCTGGAGGTGATAATCCGGGATCAGAATGAATAAACTGTCAAAAGACGACTAAATAATAGGTTGGGGGTTTCAGTAGGAGAATGATGTGTTCAGAAGAGAAGGTAACTCAAAGTAGTTGAGTTCAAAAGTTAGTGGAGGTTTGGACTTTTGTACAGCTGTCTTCTTCCAAGGTAGCTCTAGGCTTTTATGTGTGGGCATTTGAGTTCTCGCTCTGAAAGGAAATATACTTCCTCTTTTGAACATCCTTAGAGTTTCTTTCCCATTGTGTTATTAAGGAGGAGCATCTAATGCATCTGTTCCAGGTTTCCATTTTGTAGAACTCTAGTTAGTGGCAAGGCAGTGTTCTTACGTTCTTTTCCCTTAACTCTTCCTGTATGTACTTGGGTGGTTCCTAAGGGAAAAGGAAGCATAGGAGCATGGGAAAGGTAGCCCAGAACAAAAAGCAATCTTGTCTTACCACTGTGGTTTATAGGAGAAATTATCCTGCTTTTTTCATGGCCTGATTCCAGAAGAGACTGATCCAAAATTATAGCGGCAGGGAATTCTTGGTGCATCTGGCACTGAGATTTAAATACAACCAGAATTGTCCTCAAGGCCCAGCCATTAAAGCATTGTCTCTCTTGACTTTCTGGTATCTTGTCAGAGAGCTTTTCACTGTGAGGAAGTGTGGAAATGGCTGTGTGTATGTGTGTAATCTGTTAGATTGGGGATAGGTTTTCTGTTAGTACTGAAAGAGACCTGCAATAAAAATTTACCCTGATCTGATAGAAAGTGAAGTTTTTGTGTATGACTGTTTGAATGTGTGTTCGTGCTTGTATATATCTACACACAGATGAAAAATTATATTTGAAATTTTTGGAAAGTAAATCAAATCCAGATCAAAATGCCTTCCGGGCCCATTACCTGGAAATATATCTTAAAACCTGGGTATGTTCCTGAGGTCATTTCTTTGCTTACGCTAAATCAGTTGTAATTATGAATGGGGGATATTCTACTGCACTTTTAAAAGAGGAAGCTGTTTTTGTGTTTGAAAGTGAAACTAACAGCCAGATCTATAGCAGAATCTTAGTTCTTCTCATAAATCTTTTTACCTTGGCTACAAATAGATGATGCAGTGATTCTATTATATATTTTATATAAAAATCCATCTAAATTAGGCTTTGGTTAAGTTTGTATTGTTGTTGTTTAACCTGAAATGGAATAACTGTTAATATTCTAAACAATAGTTCATTTGGTCCTTTCTTGCAGACTTAATACTGTTTTCAGCACTCAGGAACTATGCAAGGAACTTTCCCCAGATCTAATTCTGTTAATGCTGAAATAAAAGTCATCCATGCCCAGCCACTATGAAACCCTTATTCCCACTGAAAGGCAGAAGTCAGAACCTATTGTTTTATGTCTGTAATCATGTACTTTGGCATCTTTTGGAGGAAAGGGGCAGGCTAGCTCACAGGAGTGTGCAGTATTTTGCTAGAGCATTTTGAGTAATGGAATCGCCTCCAATATGAAATTATTACATACAAACTAGCTTAATGATGCTGAGGACTACAAGATTTTTGATAGTTGTTTTAATTGATGATGATTCTCTATTGGATGGAAAGCTGCTGGTTTATCCTCCGTCCAGTTCATTAGCATTACTATGAGTGAATTTATATCAAATTACTCTTTCTACTTGCCCTATTCCCTTCTCACCAAGGAAACTCCAGAATCAGTATCTTAGCCCCAAAACTGAAGAAGCTTCTGCTTTTGTCTCCCAGCAGCAGTGAGACTATCTCTTCCACAAGAAGTTAGGAGCTTACATTCCTTGAGTCAGGAGCTCATTACTGAAAGTCCCCTTTCCCTGAACTCTTGGCCAGCAGAAATTTATGGATCTGACAGGCACATTTGATTCTGACTTTCTTTTTCATGAGTCGCTTTTTTATTTTTTAAATGACCAAACTTGGAAGGTGAGGTGCCCAGAGGAATGGTAATGTGAAAGCACTCATATGTTTATCTTTTCCAGTTACCCATTAATGCTCATCTGCTCATCAGATCATTAGAGTGTCTCACTTTTTACCCAGAGCAGTAGTGACACACCATCTTTCAGGGACCTTCCAGCTGGCACAGCTGTGGGTGCTGTGCAGATACGCAGTTAAATGGACATTTCTCAGCTCATTTCAGAATAAATAGAATGCTTGATCCCAGAAACTATAGAGTTAAGTGTGGGGTAAAGATTATGATTGGGGGAAGGTTGGAGACAAAAGCTGTAAATTACTATGGCTGATTTATTTCTACTATATACATATATATATTTTTTGCTTTTGTATATCCTATATAGGAAACTAAGCAATGTATTTTTTTAACAAATCTGAGAAAGCACTATGAACTGCAGGTGTTTGACTTTCAGAATATATTTTGTATTGTTAATATCTTCACATGTGAATACTGGAAGTTGCAGATCTTTGCTAGGATGCAATAAATTTATATACTATTTGAGGGGTTCTTTTAGGGGTGCTAATCAGGCCCCTGTTTGCTTTGGGGGAGCCCTGGTGCTACTTGATTAAAGTTTTTATTCAATTATCAGTACCCTAATGCCTTCTGAACCTTGGGATCAGACTGAAAGATTTTTGGAAATTAAGTACCAAGGAAATGTGGGTAGTATAGCTGCCACAAGTGAGGGTCCCTTTGTATATCTCTGCTTCCTCTATCCAGAGCTGGGTAGTCTTTGGGATTGGGAGGAGAAATGTGAAATCTCATTGTTTCATCTCTCTTCTTAGAAGAGAGCCAATAACTGTGCAAGGATGAAAGGTGGCAGCAGTAGCTTTGGGGAAAGGGAGGAGGATATGGCACTTCTCCAACTCCGGAAAATAGTGCTTTTGAAAACTGCTGATAAAATATGGGCAGGTTATTACTTTGGTTTGGGAGCCTGTGCTCGCTCTCTCTGGTGCCTCTCTTGGCTCTACTCCTGGGGTACAGATCTTAGGAGGATGAGCAGACCAGCTCTGAAGTTGACCTGCTTCTTTCCTTTGTCTGCCTTCCCTAAACAACAGCCCCCAGGAAGATATTAAGCAGCCCTACGCTTAAATTCTTACTCCCTCTTCCAGATTTGGCTCACTTGCCTCAGATTGAAGGCTGGGAAAGGAAAAGGAGAGTCTTTGACTTCATTCCTCCCTGAGTCCTCTTCAGTCTGATTTCCCCTATAATGTCCGTTTAAGAGAAATGAGCATTTTGTCCCATTTTACCTTTCCTTATCAAACAGCCCCAGCCTTCCTTGTCTCTGCTAAGGGAATAGAGATGTGGTTATCTGTCCCTTAACTCCCCTAAATCCCAGCTCAGTATCAGAAAAATAGGGTTAGGCTGGGGCTTCAGGTAGTGAGAACTTTGTTGCTACCTCTCCTGGGGTGTGTGTTTTACTGTATTTTTCACCTTCAGGAATTATGCTGTGCCTTCTCCACCTGGGGGATGGGCTTCCTCTATGCAGCCTTCCACTTTTCCAGCAACTGCTCTTGGACAGTGTGGACAAGGGCAAGCCTTCATATTTTTGCTCACCCCATTCTCCCATTGGCATCCCATACCTTCACCAGAGTCTAGGGCTCAAAGACTTTGGGGAAAATATGCTGAGATTGACCTGAAAAGACCCCTCTACACACATCCATGGCAGCTGCCCCAGGGCCCGCTTCCTCTTCCCTCCTCTGTCATCCTGGAGGGAGGGGGGAACGGTGCTCAAATCTCTGGTGCCTAAAACAAGTTTATTTCTCTCTTAACACTGGCAATAACCAGTCTCCATACCACTGTTGCCTTTTTAAACCACCTAATAATCTCATACTGTGTGTGTTGTTGGTTCCAATCTGATTATCACCAGGGCTGTGTGGGGAAATACTTTTAAATGCTTTCTCATCTTTCTTGCTCCTTTTTTTTTTTTCCTTTCCCTTGCCCTTGAGTATGTATGAAGCTAATCTGTCTTTCAGTTTCTTCCTACTCTTTCATATCTTCCTTTCTTGTCTCCCCCCCTACCTTTTGTCTCTGGGTGTTTTGGGGCTCTTTTTTTTTTTTTTTTTTTTCTTTTGGCCTTTTTGTACAAAGATTAGTTTCAATGTAGTCTGTAGCTTCTTTGTAAACCAATTAAAAAAATTTTTTTTAAATAAAAAGCCATGTCTCTGGTGTGTTGAGGGTTGGGAATGGGGGGAAGACGATACAATTATTACAACTTCAAATTCTGAAACCAACAAAGGTTTCCAACTATAATATGTTGTGTTCTCATACATGTTAATCATTACCGCAACTGCATTACACTTACCCATCAGGTAAGCAGTCCCACGGCCAGATCAGTGACACAGTTTCATAGAAATGTGGATGACCGAGAGGATGAA